AAATGCACAGACCTGATTAAAGCTACTGTCACTGCTTGCTCTCGAGGTTGCGTAGCTGGCGGATGAACTCTGTTCTCCTTCTTCCAACAACAATTTTTTCCATTCCGAGACTCTGGCAGAAGAGTACTCTTTTGCCTTAAGTCTTTCATCTCCTCATGAGCTGAACCGATACCGAGCCTTTGTAGCCTGCGTCTCCTCGACACGATGGGGTGAAGTAAAATCGGGGAATCTGGCCAAGCCGTCAGAGTCCGAGTTCTCAATTAGTCCCGTTGTCCTGTCACTTTGGCCTCTGGATCCGACTGGCTGGCCAACTGATCCCGTCGAACCAGCTTTTGCTCAACATATTCTCAAGGCGACTGAAGCTCGAACCCCCGAGGGCTTGGCATTTTGTCGTATAATAACGGACACTGCTTAGAAGACTTGTGTTTCGCCGAAGCCAGCCCATTGCAGCCGGCATTCGGGATACTTCACCGGTAGCGGTGATTCTTCCGTCGCCTATCGCATGAGACCTCCAAGTCCCGATCTGTCCGTCTGAGGCCTCCAGAGATGAACTTTCACTAAGACCAGAAGGAGTAGACATTAATCGCCAATCCAAATTCCATTGATACTTTGTTAGATTTAAGGATAGTTCGGCATAACTGTCAATTAGTTTGAGTGGACGATTTTGACGGGATTGGTAAATTCTCAAAGAATGAATCAACAAGAACGTTCCAGTAAGGCCAAAAATGCAGCTGGCCGAGAGGAATCCGTCGTCGTCCCGTGGGATCGGCTTATGAGTCTCTTTATCGCACATCTTCACTATAAAATGAAGTGCGCCCAGCAGCAGTGCTCAGATCTTGAGAAGTAACTTTTAACAAATATAACCAAAATGTTGTCCTACACTTCACTTTGTTTGAAGGGAAGAATAAAAGCGATTTGTAAATTAGCCTAATCGGAAAACGAGCGAGGACTAACTTGGAGTTATGACTGTACATTTGTGAGAATGTGCCCTTGGTACCGTATCCTGCGAACCCAATGAGCCTGCGCCGTTCAAACAGGAGACCAGATGGTGAAAAGCTGTGGTTTCAATTACGTTAGCAACTATTCGGAGTGTAGCAACGTCTTTTATTTGCATTAACTTGTCCATTCGAAGGAGGCTTCCTTGACGTGTCAACCTGAAGCCATAGGATACTACGCCGAGGACATATTCGCAAAATCCATAGTCAAATATCCAAATGAATCTCGCCTTGGCTTCGGATGAAGAAA